GGTTAAGATGTATGCAGACCTGACCTTACAAATGTAGAGGTAAATCTGTGTGCATCATAACCTCCCCAGATTCACTGGGGTCGTTTGGTTTGATTTGGTCTGTGACCAGAAGGGCATGTATGAAGAGAAGTCTTGGAGTCGTACTATTGATCTTGTTGTTAGTGATATCTTTTTGCATCATTGGGTTCTTTCACATTGGCCTTCTCCAGGTTGTGTCATTCATGTGCGGCATGATTCATTATGGATTTTTGTCGTTCCAGACATATGAGGAGCCAAATGCATGGCAAAACAGAAGGTAAAACCTTTGATTTTTTATTGGAGAACTAGATTGATTGTTTTATACCACACTATGCGGTTTGGTTTGTAGTTTTCGATATCCAAAACCATGGTTCAAAGCACACCACACCACACCACACCACATGTTAACTTTTATAGTTTGATTTGATTTTTTTTTGCTTACTATTATTTTAAAAAGTTTGATTGCTATGATTGGAGTCTACCTGCGGTTGAAATATTTATTCGGTTTAGTGGAAAAAGTAAGAAATTTGTTGTAATATCAGTGAGGATGATGCTTGGTGGTTGCTACCGACACTGCTGATGCTATTGAAGGTAATCCAAGCGCGGTTTGTTGACTGGCACATAGCAAACCTAGAAGTCGAAGATTTTTCACTCTTTTGTCCTGATCCTGATACCTTTTGGGCGTATGAGACGACTTTATGAAATACATTTTGCTTCTTTGATGTATATAGATGTAGAAAGGTGGTGGTATATTCGTGTACATCTGTTTGCTAGCGTTTTCTTCCGTATTTTGCGAGTGATTTTAGAGATATATATAGGTTGAGAAATAGTATATATAGAGAGAGATTATAAACTGAAGAGTCTTGGTACACCACTAGACTTTTTTACTCTTCAGGTGATCATCATTTTGCTGCTGGGAATGCAAGATTACTTCTCTAACTTTTGTGCTTAATTTTTGCTAAGTTTGTTGGGTATTTTATACTAGTTTAGAATATGAAGATTGCTATTATAGTTTTGTGCTAAATTTCCTGTGAAATTTAAAATTTACATTTATGCCCCTTTGGTTTGACGATTGGTTAACGGGTCGTTTTCTTTTTTAGAACATACGATTAGCTTGAAGATCAACATTTCGAGACGTGCATGGAAGGCATTGTTAATTCGTAATACCGATAAATACTTGTAATTCCAAAAATCGATTTTAATTGATTATAATTTTAATAAAATGTTTTTCCAGAGGATGATTTTATAAATTCATAAGAAATAACTTTTTTCCAGAGGATGACATTAAATTTATGTCATTACCAACCCATAACCGCTTTAAAAGGAGTTTTCATTCTCGTCTTACATACAAAGGATCTTATGTGTTATGCTCTTGTTTTTTGGCCTGAAAACAAACCCCTATAGTAAACTTCATGTAACCCGATGTTTTGCATATGTTTCTAATAATGGTTGCATCCCTTACATTGAAGTGTAACCCAACCAAACAAAAAGTATACCCACTTGGAATTAAGGTATGGGATGACATCCAAATCCATGAGGAATTCAATTATTGCAATCTGATAGACTACACCAAACCAAACCAAACCAAACTAAACAATCCCAATAAAAACCAGCTCAATAATAGAGTTGAGAGATGTACGCAGACCTGACCTCTACCCCAAAAGATGGCATCGTGAAGAACCTGGCTTGTGCAAAAGTGTGAGTAGAATGGAAGGAAGAGAGAACGAAAAAAGCAAAGCAGCCAAGGCAAAAGGTATAATGAAACAAATAGAAACTACGAAAAGATGCCACAACCCTCCGTTTACCCTAACCCTAACCCTCCCCATACCCTAACCCTCAACCTCCCTAATTTCCTTCTTCCTATTATTTGATAAGACTCGGTCCATCTAATTGGTGTGAATAATATTCCATACAATTGTTAACTACTCATTATTAGATTCAAGGCTATCATTATTGGTCATCTTCAGAGCTGTAACGGTTATATCATGTTAGTTTCTTTGAGGCCAAGATCAACATTCTTGTGCATAATATATATTGGATGATTGATTAAGTCGACACTGCTCATCAATTTTGCATACTCTTTAGAAGCAGCACTCACTAGATTTCAATACATAGATGACCAGCAATAGCAATCAAAGCAACATATCTACTTGGCAACTGAATCTGATTCCAGATTATTTGTTGATGATGAATGTTTAAGCTCCTCCTTCAATAAGATACTCAGGATGACCTCATTGTCTAACCAATGGCCAAAACTATTACCCATAAAACATGAAGATTAAATAACTTTCTTCTCTATTTTGGGTTTTTGAATCTTGCTCTGTTTTCGTTATTCATGTTAAATTTATGTATCTTTTATAATCTGCATATTATTGTTAAGCTACGCCTAATATCTTAGAACAGAAGCTTTTCCATAGTGCATTAGATCTGATAGAAGTAGAAATATATTGATAAAAATTGAATGGTTTATACACATTAAAACATGTAAAGTGAGCAAAAGTAGTTGTATGGTACATACATGATAAAATACATACCAGTGGGCTATAAGGAAAGATATGACAATTTATACCACCCACGATCTGGATTTTGCAGTTTGGAATAGAGATATATGTTAGATCAAAGTTGTCGGTGTCATAATCTTGAATGCTGCCTCCACGGGCACCCACCTTCAAATGCATGTTCTAATACATCTTCCATTCTCTTGGCCAGTAATATCTGCAGCAATATAGCACCCCAAATGTCACCCAATTTGAACTGTGTAGGGGTAAGAGTAGAGTAGGGTAGGGTAAAAGTAGGAGTAATGTGTAATCAAGAAAGTCAACCCAACAACAGAATCAGGTCAACACTAAAACCACATTTATAGACCTATCAAAATGTGACCTTTTGAAATGCTTGTTAACAAAATGACATTGATTCAAGTTCATAAGTTCTCTAGTCATCATACTTGCAGCTTTGTGCAAACACCATTCTACTAGTTAAAAAACTAAAATAACAAAAGTATGTCAAGAAGAGTAGCTTTAGATAATTTTCAATTCTTTTTGCAACAATAATACTAGAATCGCTCACTCTAGCATACGTTGGTATTTTTACGTATTTTAACAGTTAATTTGTAACAAAACAACATATATATATAGGGCTGTTGGTAAGGGATCAAAATTCTGTAGGGACCACTTTGTTAACAGAGGTTCACATAAATTAACCAAGATCAAGGGCCATGCGCGGGTTCCTACGGTTCCCACCAGATCTTGAATTACTGCATGAACCAACCCTATATATAAGCCCTTTTTCTTGAAAAGTGTGAGAAATATAACCATGACAGAATATGTGTGAATGTGCCCTTATATTGTGAGAAACTGGTGAAGATGTATATATATATATATATATACACATATATATATATAGTGAGAGAGAGAAAAGGTTTCAAATACAAACCATGTAATTTTTACAAACCAACCTCAACCGCCCTTAGTCTAATAAACATTTGGTTTCATAAATATCTCGATTGTTTCTTGATCTAAAGCCATGATCATAATGAATGAACCTTGTCATCTTCCATAAACATCTTGATCGTAATGAATGAATCATGATTATTGTCCATAAATATCTCGATATTTTCCTAATATGAGCGTTGATTATGGTTTGTATTTGAAACCTCCTCTCTCTCTATATATATACATATATAGGCGGAGGTTTAAGCGAGAACACATTTATTTTATGAAAACATGTAAACACCCTTTTATTATAGTCAATCACATGTGATACTAAATCAGAGATACGGGCAACCTTTGGCACGATCTATTGCCGGGCGACCTATGGCGCGACCTAGGTTTCGTGAAAAGTGTGAAAAATATAACCTTCACGTAATATATGTGACTGTACCTGTATATTGTGAGAAACTAGTGAAGGTACACATTCAAGTCTTGCCGCCTTCACAAAATAAAACGTAGCATTCACACAATATAAAGGTTACCTTCACCACTTCTCACGCTTCTCACCAAAAAAAAATCTTTTTTTCTCACTTTATCCCAAGTTTATATATGTAATGGTTAAAAATCTATTCACTCCTAATTCTCATTCAATTTGATAGATCATGTGTGTAGATGTGGGGTGGGGAGAATTCCCAACAGAGCCATATCAACATCAAAACCTAATGTATAGATTCATCAAAGCAATCTTTTGAGGTGTTCGTTAAAATAAAATGACTTAGATCCTTGAGAATATAGTCGTAGACCTCCAATGATCTCCAAATTCAATAAATAAACAGCTAATTTCTACAGTTTGAGCAATTGACACATTATTTCAAGACAAAGGTAGGCTCTAGATATCCTGTTTTCACTTTCTTAAAAAAACTACGCTCCATAAGAAGCTCAAAGTTGAATATTAATCCATTGGACCTCGAAAGTCATATTGTACCCCATTTTTTAGGGTTATGGAAGTAGTAGATATCATCACTGCATATCATGTAAACTCATTTAAGACCTCAAGACTATGCAAGAAAGAAACTAATAAATATTAACTTCAGCTTAGAACGAGGTTCATTGTCGATGACATGTTATTAAAAGTTACCTCCATGCTTCCGAGAACAGCTGCAGGCACTTCAACCAAGTCCTTCAAATTTCTCTCGGGCAGGATTACTCTCTTAAGCCCATAACGGTGTGCCGCCAAGACCTGCCAGATTGCATGTTAAAGAAATAGTTGGAGAAAACAAATAGAAGTTCTAAAATATTAATAAATATTTGGAGGCAATGGCTAACCTTATCCTTTATCCCTCCTACAGGTAAAACTAGACCTCGCAAAGTCATCTCTCCCGTCATTGCTGTATCTGATCTTACCCTTCTATGACTGAAAAGTGAAACCAGTGAGGTGACAAGGGTCACACCGGCTGAAGGTCCATCCTTTGGCACAGCACCAGCAGGGAAATGTATATGGACATCCCGTCCTTCAAGCAAATTACTTTCTTTTGCAGTTGCCAAATTTAGCTCCGATGCCCTAGCTCTTACCTGTGTCAGAAAAATACATTTACATGCCTAATAACAGACAATCCTACATCCACTAAAAAAATAAGAATGATAGGCTTTTTATCAATTGTCCCTATTCAACGTAGACAACCCAAGTTTGTTCTTAAAAGAACATTCTTTAATACATTTCGTCCATTTTGTGACCAGGACAAACAATTAATCAAACTTATGCAACTCTAAAATCGGCAAGTACAACAGTCAGCCTCATCCAGTCCAGTGTTCCTCCATCATTGATTTTTGCTCTATTTTTTGTAAATAACAACTGAAGACAAATAGAAAAATTAAATGAGAAGATACCCAGGTCAATGCTATCTGTGCCGATTCTTTGATAACATCACCCAATTGCCCAGTGAGATGCAGCTCCCCCTTACCCACCATTGATGAAGCCTCGACAAACTGGACTTCTCCACCAAAGGAGGTCCAGACTAGCCCAACAGAAACCCCAGGTGTAGCAACTCTCTCTGAGGTTTCTTTATCATCAAACTTAGGAGGCTGCGTTGAATTCAGTAACACAAAATGAGAAACAAGAAAGGAAGCAAATATAGACTCAGGCCTTGTACAGTTAAGATCCACACACACACATATATAATAGTAAGGTTTTCTTTTGAAGTTTACAAAGAGACTGCTTCAAAAACTCAATCCATGATCTCATTGTGTGATAAAGGAGTGACTAGTTAGTACGCAAGGCTACTTGAAAAGCTGACCTAAAGTGACAAACTTAAAAGTTATATGAAAGTAGAAGCAAGAACTACTTCTTGAAGTTAAGAGGATGAACCAGGAGCAAGTATATGAAGTTCAGCATATGGGAGAAAATGCTACTAACAAGGGGTTCAAAGAGAATAATTATGTGGATTTTGAGGCCTACTACACCTTCTAACCAAAGATGGACATCTTGTTTAGATAGTTGCGAAAGTTATGCACACATCAAAGGATTCACAACTCCAAACTCATTTCAACATGGCTGCAATTGTAAGCAACCAATATGATTGACAACTCGATTGAAAACCATAAAGTTGCAACAAAAGCTGAAGCTCAGTGACAGGTGGAGCCACATTACATGCCTAATTGTCTTCTGGAGAAAATATCCCCTTCAAAGTGGGATTCATATGTTCCATCGTTAGTTTTCTGTTACAGTTATTGCAGTCAGCACACATGTCGGAAGCTCATTTTACTGTAAGACAACTACCTAGCTGCAGCACAATGTACAGAGGTTGTTGAATTGGTGTTTGATGGGGAGAGTATGACCAGAATATTCCATCTTCTAGATACTGAAAATTACGGTTTATAAGTGCCATTTTGTATTCTCAGTTATGTTTTAACTTGCCAAGCTCATCCAATATTCATATGTAAATTGCTTACCCCGAGTACTTTTTCAAGCATAGCTTCATCCACGATTAATGGTGACATATCCCTGAATGCACTTGATATTTCATGATTGTTAACACCCATCATTATGACTTCCATCTCTACTTCAGCCCCTCCTTCAGCAAGCCTACTCTCCAGCAATGGTGAAGAGATCTGGTGCACATCTTTGTTAAGTGGAACTGTAGGCTCTTGCTCTGCCACTCTTACTGCAGCTGCACGAGCTAATGCTGCAAGGCTTCTCTCAAGGTTCCTCACACCAGCTTCTCTAGTGTATCGTTGAATAATAAGTTTTACCATGGCCTACCATAGGATACATGATCAGTGTCGATCATAATAAAGAAACAAAGCACATGGGAGTTCAGATGTCAGATTCTGGCGTATCACGACATCAGTAACTCGCAAATTACTAATCTTTTTTCCCAAATACAAGCCAACAAGGATCTACTAAAGGCCTAATTTTTTTCAGAAAAACACTGCAAAGTAGATAATAAACAGACAAAAAAAAGCATTTCTCAAGTATCATCTTCATAAATTTTAATGACCTTTTCTTATCAGAGGTTCATCAAGGTGTGTCTTTTTTCTTACCAACTAATGAAGAAACGGTATCAGCAGTCTGATCAGAGAAAGGCACATCTACCGATGATACCACGGATGTGGATGCAGATTTATAAAGCCGACTACTCTATACAGTAAGATGGAATGCAAACAAGAGCCACCAACTCATATATAGTGGATATGAGCAGTTCTTTTTCTTCCCGTATCTAAGAAACATGATGTTCACAAAATAGAACATCTAAGATTCCTAACCAACTCAGATCTTGGATCTCAGCTATAACTTGGACGTTTCTCTCATATGGCAGTAAATACAAATCATGCAACTTCCCACTAGCACACAGAAGAATAGAGTTACATCAAGAAGAATGGTGGTGGTAGAAGTTCGTGACTTCCTGACAAATACAACTTCATTTCTGCTTCTGGTTATCTATTTAGAATGCTCCATTTGATCTATTGATAATTGCAGAAGTAAAAAGGAACCATCCACATATTCAGACAAATAGAAGATCAACACGTAAATAACTCACCTAAGATCACTCAAGCAAATCCGTGTATTTTGTGTGTATTTTTCTAAATCTGAGATATATGCAAAATTTGTCTTCTTTCTAGCAAATATATAACGTAAAAGGAGAGAACAACAAAATCTATACCTCAGGAACTTTCAGGAATTCAGAATTCAAGCCATGCTGATTTAGAACCCGTGGGATTAGGTGGCGCATCGCTATTCTAAGCTTCTCTTCAGGTGTATATCCAGGAAGCTCAATGACTTCCATCCTGTCTAGGAGTGGTGGAGGAATTGGCTGGGCCCTATTAGCAGTCGCCACAAATATCACTTTTGACAGATCAAAAGGAACATTCAAATAGCTTTAAGGCGTGAATTAAGGAAAAACTGCACAAACTGACTTAATTTTATATGAATGGAACCAAGAAAATAGTTTGACGGCCTAACTAATGAGTCATATATTTAAAGGACAAATCATGTCACGGAGTCAAAGCATGTTAACTGAGTTGTATTGGAAGGTCCAACTCCTTGTTCCAAACTTATAGATGCATGTTGACTTCTGTCGTCATGCGGGTCCACTCTCAAATTCAAAATGGATATAATTTTATTTGGTCTTTCAAATTTGAAACCTGTTGCCATTTTATCTGTTGCTTTTACTAAAGTACCCTCTTTTCTTCTGAATCTAAATAATTTTATCATCGATTTTTTTAAATAGTAAAAGGATCTAATACTAGCTCTGAACAAGCTTCTCGAACTGTTAAATACCTGAAACAAAAAGGTAGCTTATAACATGCCTGTTCATGCTCCTCAGCTGAGAAGCATGCCTTAGGAGCAGTAACAAGTACCTTCATTGGGGTCGGGTAGATACAGCCACACACAGTTCCTGTACACAGCAAGACAGTAGCAGTAGCTACCGTATCGTAAGACAGTCGCTCTCACACATAGGGTTTAAACAACGTTCTATCGGGTTGACCAGGTTTAACAAGATTGAAACAAGAAGGCAAGTGTAAAATTATTGCCAATCGTCTACTCATGAACTAAAGTAATGATTCAAAGGTACCCCCACATGCCTCAAATATAAGATAATCAACTATTCTGGTAACCATAAATAATCATAATTCATATGCTTAAGTGATGATTCAAAAGAACGGCATGCTTCATGAAATAACGAGATCAACTATCATGGTAGCCACAACTGTGATATTTGTATAAGGTTATTACTAAATTAGGTCAAAAGAAAACATGTAAAACATAGAAAACCAAACAAAACTGACCCAGTAACTCCCACTCAAAAATAGGGTATGGAGGTGAAATATACAAGGACCCAACTTCTACCCCAAACATGTAAAACATAGTTCATAGAAACACATAAAATGAGAACCAAGTGGTGTTTTGAAACCTGCTTCATTGCCAAAAGATCACCTTTTGCTTTCGTTCTCAAATTGGGCCAAAAAAGTTGAGGCAAGGCTAAAGGCATAAAAAACCAATTTGTACATTGTCAAAAATAGTCAGGCACAAAGAAGCAGTGAAAACATTGCTCAAACAACTCCTGAAGTAGGATACTGATCATTGAAAGTTTTGTTTTGCTCAGGGTCAAGAACCTCCAGTAGTGCTGAAGCAGGATCACCACGTACATCAGATCCCGTTTTATCAATCTCGTCCAGCAACATAACGGGATTGCAAACAGCTACTTTCTGAAAGCCAAAAAACATGATCAAGTTTAAATAAAGAAGTTGTTCATATTGCTACATGTAGGTGTGTTTGGGAGGAAAGATGGCTAGTGATGCAACAATATCCAGTCAATCTCACTCAACTCCCCCCCCCCCCCCCCCCAAAAATCTCCAGTACCTCAACTGTTCCTAATTTTCTTCATGCAAAAACTGCATGGAGAATCCATGATCTTTAATGTAAGACACAATCTAACACAGAACCTTGAGTGAAGCTTTAACTAAATGTTGAATGCATATGCAAGTAAAGAATCAAACATCAAACTGTTTAGTGATCATGATGAAATTGATCAGCAAATGAAACTGAAATTCACCTTTAATCCATCAATAAGCCTCCCTGGCATGCTTCCAATATATGTCCTCCTGTGCCCTCTAATATCAGCCTCATCTTTCACACCACCAAGGGATATCCGTACAAATTTCCTACCCAGAGCAGCAGCAATAGATGATGCCAAGGATGTTTTCCCAACACCTGGTGGGCCAACAAAGCATAAAATAGGGCCTCTAGCATCTGGCTTCAACTGTAATGCAAATTTAGAACTCGATTCATTTTTGAGTGTCACAGCATCAATCATTTACAGAAAAGTGAATAAGATAGTTGGTCAACCTTGCGCACAGCTAGATATTCAATTATCCTTTGCTTGACCTTCTCTAAACCGTGGTGGTCACTGTCAAGCCGCTCTTTTGCAGCTTTTAGGTCCAACTCCACTTCTTCACTGATTGTCTGCCATGGCAAATCAGCAAGAAGCTCGAGGTAAACACGAGAACTGTTATACCCAGGTTGCTGAGGTTGCATTTTTTTCAGTCTCCTGATTAAGCATTTATGGAAATACAAATGAGCAAAAATCTGATACCAAAAGAGATGGTAAATAAATTTGGTACTAGAAGTTAGTCCTTCACTACACATAGACCTTTGATGCACTTAAATTACTGATTGCCCATAGCCCCGAATTTCCCTCTGTACATATTCTATTGATATGGACAGCATTAAATGTAATCATATAATTTAACAGCAACAACAAAATCCCTTCTAATATGCAAAACCAAGATATATTCCTCCGTCAAAAATTAATAAAAGGTAGACCTTAATTCTCTCTGCGCATGCTTCCAGACATTTGGAGGCATTCCAGCACCTTGCATTTTCCTTTCAAGGCCAGCTACATCATCATCTTCATCATCATTGTCGCCAAGCTCTTCTTTAATTGCCCTCATCTGGTTATGCAAAGAAAGAACACTTGTAAATACAAACCAGCCCATGAAGAAATTTTCCACATAGATTTCACATAAGATATCCCTACAACAACAGCATTCTACACACATAAATTATTAGAATATACTAGTGCATGTATCTAACATCAAACTTACATGATACAAGAACTTAAATGTTCTCGTGTCTTAGAAGATAATAACATCCATTAACAAAAAGATACTTGGTGCTCTATTAAGAAGTTAATAAATTACTTCTAACTCATAGAATAGCAGCCTTCACTTTTTCCTTCAACAATATATGGAAACATTACTGATTTTAGCGAAGTACTGAAGATATCTGAAAAAGAAGAGCAGAAAATTCATGGGAGGAAAACCATCTGAACTTTTCCCAAAGCAATTTAAAGGACACGTTCCTGACTGAAGCCAAGTACTAAGGATTTCTAAAAAGAGAGCAGAAACTTCATAGGAGAAAAATAATCTGATCTTTTCCCACAGATATTCGAAGGATGCATTACTGACTTAAGCCAAGTACTACACATTTCGGAAAAAAGGGGCAGGAGCTTCATTGGAGGAAAACTTACCCAACCTTTTCCAAAGCAAATTGAAGAAATAACATATTTCCCAAAGAATAAAAAGTTAGTAAGACTCCTCAGTTGTAACAAGATGAGGCCATAACAAAAATAGATCTACAAAGTGGTGCTGAAAATCCACTAGATACGACGTTTGTCAACTAACACCTAACATGCATTGCAGAAATAGTTACTGAACTGTATGAAAAAGCAGACCTGCTGACGAAGAAGATACTCCTTTTGAGATTTTGACAGCTGCCCTTCAACCTTTTTGGTTATCTTCTCTGCCACACGTATCGACTGGTGCAATTAAAAATCTCATCACACAACTAGTCACTCCAAATTCCAGGTAATAAAAATGACAAGTACTCTAACAGATATCCATCACTTGATCTATCAGGTTACCTGTAAATGTCTATCAACTAATTCTGTGGCTTTTGAAAGCCTTACTTTGACATCAACAGCATCTAGCATAGAGAGCTGCTCTTCAAAACTAATCTCAAAGCTTGCAACAAATATGTCTGCCAGTTTGTGCAGAGGGACCGTGTCGAGAAGAACTTTGGTTCTCCCACCGGTTTTTTGTTTCTATAAAAAAATACCAGAAACAAAAGATGGTTAGACAAACCTGGTATATCTTAGATATTAGACAAAGTTTATAATCCTTGTACCCTTTTAACTTCAACAGCAATATCTCATGAGAGGACATGCACTGAATACCACACTGAAGTGCAGTGAATTCAAACCAAGAAAAATAAGCAATCAGAAAGTACAAACAAATTTTAGGTGCAACTGTGCTAGTAACAAGAAATTCATTATAACAAAGTTAGAGAAACTACTTTCCAAATGATGAGACTTACTAATTCTTACACTATAACTCAGGCTAAGTAAGGTCATAACAAGCACTTATGACAGAAAAGTCATCAGTTATTTGTTTAGAGCTAAAGGGAACACCCTTCATAGGGTAAGAGGCTGGGACCAGGCGCATGTATAATGGAGTCTCTGTCCATTTAATGGTACATCAGAAATCAGGTTATTGAGATGAGAACAAAGAAATACCAACATAAAACAAAGAAAGAAAGATAGTTTTAAAATAGATAATGGACAAAAAGAATACTACAAGTACCATGACCTTTTTCATGAGCTCTGCCTTTTCTCGTCATGAGCATTATGAACCAAGAGGAGAAAGTAAACTTTGAGAGTATTTTTCTAACAAATTACTCATATGGCATGACCATGTACAAGATAATTAATTCAAATTCAGAATTTGTTACTGAGAGAGATCTATTATGATTGAATATGAGTTAGTTTCATTTTTTGTTGTTTAAATTGTTGAAGCTTGTTTTTGGTTTTGGAAAATGGGAGCATGCAACATGGCCCATATGTATGTTGATGCAATGATATTAATATGATACTTTGGTTCTTGATATGGTAGCTTAGTGAAGGCTTGGGATGGGGAAAGTAATTAAGTAGTGAAAGGTCTAACTTTGCGCAATTAGTGATGATCAGTTACTCAGGTCAGAGCGTAAGCTAGTGATGCTTTCGGCTACTGGACTTTCGCTGGGCTGTTATCCTTTTTTTAGGTTCATTAGGATTAAATCCCGAGTTATTATGAAATAAAAAAAACAATGAGATTATGTATTCAGGCCTTGTACAAAAACAATGAGATTATGTATTCAGTCATACCTGCTCAAGAACAGAAATAAGCTCCATGGCAGTTACTTTGAATTGACGAGACAGTGCTATAAAATCTGGGTCTTGTTCAACTCGCTCCATCTCTATATAAGATCAGAAAATAGTAGCAACTCAGCATCTTGACAGATCAGGGCATTAAGCCAGTATTCTACATGCAACATGTGGGTTAGCACCATCTAAAGCCTACAAGATGGACAGACTATTCAACTTAAAGCAGATTGTAAATTAACATATTTATGAACTCAACAAATAGATGTGCTTATGGGAAGTAAACAGAAGTTGAGTACGTTGATATTTAAAATAAATGGCGGAATATGATAACTTACAGTCCAACACTCATCAAGCAGATAAGGCAAGGTGATATGAGTGCACACATTTAACATAAGCACTTTGAACAATGTCAATAGGTGACGTAGTTGATTTTTTTTAACACGAATGCAACTCTACTTAAATAAGAAATACCAAATTTAAGGAAAACAAGAGCATCAACCAAAAGATACAACATAGACTATAGCAAATTCCGCAAAGAAGGTGTTATTGCTGCTAGATCTCTCTACCCATTGTAGGCAATTAAGGGACCTTAAACACTTGTAATACTTATACACCATACTCTGGCTCATTACATACGCCGACAGACTATCCTAACACTATATCAAGTTCATATAAGAAAGGTAGAGACATCTTGCAATGCATACTACTCATCATGATAAATGAGTTATACTAAAGGCGTACATTTCTTTGACAGAAAAAATTTCTGAAAGAAACGAAAGGTCTTCCAACGTAACTCTACAAGAATCAGCACTTAGTTTGCCTAAAATCCCGGTAGTACCAAGTGAACATGGTGAATGTATGTATGAAATTTTGAAAGGATAAAAAATATGTAAAAGCAATAATGTCGTTGTGAGTTATACCAGCCTTTGTCATATCAAGAGGGGATATTCTTGCAGTAGAGTATGTGCCCCTTGTATTAAGCTCCAGGACACTAAATCGGCATAGGCCTTCAAGGACAACTGTGTAAGTGACCCTCCCACTTGGTTTTTCCACTCCTCTTGATAGATGTAATGCGCGAGCAGCAACACCCCTAAAATTGAAATTTAACACTACACATCACATCATGAACAGGTGATCTGGAGAACATAGGTACACATGACGATGCATGTTATTGTAAACCAAACTCAAAGATTCTCACAATAATTATCCAATAGCTATCCTGTATCAACATGTACCTTGTATGCCAATGAATAGGTTCTTGTTGGCTTTTGCCATCAAGCTTGTGAGAATCTGACAAGCCTGTTTGATTCTTTGAGCTTCTATCTCCTAAATCAGTCCCTGCATTTTGATATGACTAGGAGTTTCATTATAGTGACTTAACAGACTCCACAAGGTAAATACAATGTCATCGCAATCACCTTGTGTTAACATGGAACCCACTGACATTGTCTCCGCAGCATCTCGAACAGGCAAAATGCCAATCAGCCCTTTCTCCTCCCTCTGCCACAATTCTTGCTCCACCAATTTCACACTGCAGTAATCAGAATATAGATCACATTAAATCAATGACAACCCACAAAATGACCATAGCCTTTCTAGAGCTAACTACAAAAGTGACACAGAAGCTACTAACTCCCAAACTTTCAGAAAAGAAAGATTACTAGCACATACATATAGCAAGGTATTATAAAAATTCATACAACGAGAAACTTGTTTTGATTTCATGATCAGTTAGATATTTACATTCCGCTCGTTTCAAAGAAAATGTACATAATAACATTAGGTCACCTTAAACAGTAAAAAAAAACATCAATTAGATGATTTACAAAGACATTTTTCTTCCTGTCCCCCAAACAAAAACAAAACTGTGGACGTTGATCTTTTAATTCCCATTCCTTATGGACTTATCATTCTTCCCTCTAACCTAAGTTAAGTGGTATCATATATGTCTTCTCCGTAATTACTCATGTACCTCTATACGTGTAACTCACTTTCACAGGGAAAGTTATCATGACAAAATTAAAGCAGTAACCCTAATTTAGACTCCTCCAACTACATAGAGAAAAAAATTAAGAAATTTATTAACTCCACTGAAAATTACAGATAAAACCACCAAATAACACAAAGGGATTTTTTGCTACAGATAACCAAACAAGCTCTGTTACCCTGTTAATTAAAGAACCAGAAAAAAGAAACAATAAGAACACAAAATCCTTCCACTGTTATACATACGTCTCGGCCTAAATTGTGGCAAGACAAGTATGCAACAAAAATTTCCCCAGAAAACACAACACTAATCGGATTTCCTTAGGGAAAATCGATCAAGATGAACTAAAAACAGAAAAGAAAAATCACCTGCTGGGAGTAGTGCATCGAATTCGAATAATTGCGCCAGGCAACAATACTTTGTTCCTAAACGGAAGAATCCCAATCCGAGTAGGAAGCTCCACCGGTTCCGCCATTAAAGAAAGCGTTTACGTACGTGTATGAAATCAAAAGCAGAGAGATAGATGGATCAATCAAGAAAGCTGTGTGTTTATATAGGATCGAGGGAAGCAACACAAATGAAAAAGAGTTAAATAAAATGGTGAAGACGATGAATGGTCCGTTGGCTACTTTCACGACGGCTTTCTGTTCATTGAATTTTTTATTTCTTTTTTTTCTCGATAATCATTAGGAATTTACAATTAAGACCTCATGGTTTTCTTATTTTCATAAGTGACCCTTTTGTTCATCCAATGACCAAAAATGGTCCTTGAACAACCAAACACCAACAAGGGCGATACAGTTAAGTTTATTTGGATACAGATACAAATAAAAGTTTTGTAATACGGATACTTATTCGTTTCTCTACTCAAGAAGTCCTGAAGTTAACAATCATGCAAACCTATATTGGCTTGAATAGTTGACCATTACTGGAGCTATCCATTGCTTTACAGATGAGTTTTGGCATCTCGATGGACAAAATTCAAACGATACTCATGTTGAAATATAGACTCTGTTTGAGTGTCGAGAACTTGGGCAAATTTCGTTGCACACGTTTAAGTTATTGTCAAAAAAAGCAGTATTCTTTTATTTGTAGTTTTCTTGTGACATCATCGATTATCACGTGTATTATAATAATCCAAGTGATGTCATCCATATGATATCATCTACATGGGCATTTCAATTTTTTTAAAGGTTTTTTTTTATTAACCTGGATATCCAACCCGCTATGCGAGCCGACTAATCCCAGAACGACCACTTGTTTTGCAGATAGCTCGGAGTCACCGCATTTGAACCTTCGTGGCGACAAGGGTATTTTTATTCCTCCTTAGATTTGAACCTGAGATCTCCTGGTACTTTTAACCTTTGGAGCCAAGCTCAAATCAATCAAGCACCACCTTTGTGGTTTTTTTAAAGCTTTATAAATTAAAACAACAAATATGTTTTGAAACGACAAAATAACGTATGAAATTCATTTAAGATAATGATTCTTCTAACATTTTTTAAAGCCAGAATCAGGAATCGTCAAATCAGTTAAAACATATATAATTGGATAAAGGCCAAAACATGTATAATTAGGACCCAAAATATTTGGGGAACCTGTTCCATATCTCACGTTGGAACACCCTCATACACGACCTTGATCATATAAAAAGGAAAGTTATTGATCCTATGAAATTATAATCTGTTCAAAATTAAACTAAACGAACCATATATATCTTGATCGAAAATAAGTGAAACGTATACATACTTATCCTCTAATTGAATAAATAGAATGTTTGTTTATGTGAAAACTATAAAAATTCAATGTCTTTTTTATCTGTACTAACTTATAAGTCAGATTTATCAAAAGTCTTAAAAACAATTTTTAATGCACAAAATACTACACATTTATATACAATGGTTTAAAAACAACTCATAATGCATTAAATACTACTACTTTATGCATTTAATCTTAAAATCTCTTAATCTATAATTACAATAACATATAGTACAAGTTATCAATGTACATTATTACCTTTTTTTTTCATGTTCTCAATATACTTTTGACATCTTTCACTCATGCTTTCACCCTCTCATACCTCTATGTCTTCTCCCTATCCCCCAAGGTGAGATTCGAACTGATATTCACCATGAGTTATTAAAAGTTCTCTCATTCAATTGTTCCCGGTCTCGCTCTCAATCTCTTGATTCTTTGCTCTTGGTGTAAACCGGACACATTTGTGGAGTCGTTTAAATATGTTGGATTTTAAACTGTCATATAGCTTTTTGTTTAACAAGTTCCATTCAACCACCTAACAATCACTTATATATTTGATATGTAAATGGATTATTTGACTATCAGTTGAAGATATTGGAAACTTGAAATCGATAATCAAATGGAAAGTTACTAATTGCTGATCCATTGAAGGATCAGTTTGCTGGATGGAGCAAGCCAGTTACCATCTGAAAAATCTCAGTGGTTATCATAACTAATGATGTAGCTTAGTGAAACAAGACACTATTAAGGTTCGACTACTGAGATGATAAGTCTAAAGTTTAAGAAATCAAATAATAAAGACTTGGTGTACGTAAAGTTGAATACATATTTAAGGTTGTAAGTTGAACAAAGTGAAGTTAATACTGATAAGAAGATGTCACTGCCGAAAAAGTTCGAATGAAACTGAACTTGGTCAAGTATAAAGTTGAAGAATCACTTAACCAAATGAAACAATTAGCTCAGCAACTGAAGACTCCTTTTAACAAATTCAGAGTGTGAAGCCAGAAAAATCTAATGACAACCAAGTCTATGCATAATTCATCATCTGAGGATAAGTATCCATTAACCATCAGTTGAGACAACCGCTGAAGAAGTGAAGCTAGAAAACGATCATCCATCTAAAGGTGAGTTAACATTGAATACCAGCCAAGAAGATGGTGAACCATTAGTAATTAATATTGATGAAGCTAAAGGCCCTCCGAAGTCAATGCCATGTTCATTGTCCAACAGTCGAATAAATCTAGTTTGTTTTATTAATACAAACAGATACAATTTTTTTTTATTAACCTGGATATTCAACCCGCTATGCGAGCCGACTAATCCCAGGACGATCACCTGCTTTTCAGATAGCCCAGAGTCACCGTATTTGAACTTCTGTGGCCACAAAAGGATTTTTATTCCTACTTGGATTTAAACATGAGACCTACTGGTATTTTTGACTTTTAGAGCTAAGCTCAAACTAATCAGGCACCACCCTTGTGGTTACAAACAGATACAAGTTACCGTTATATGTCTAAAATATGCATCAATAATTACAAAATAAAAAAATGGTATGTTTATTTTTGATAAATATATGGTAGGAAACACATATGTATGTCCAAAATAGGAATTGTAGATTGTTGAATAAAGGACAAAAAATGACATAAGTGAAGAAGTACAAGGGGGGGTAATGTAAAATATGATAAAGTGAAGTGACTACAACATTCAAATTGAAAGTCAAAGACATCGCATAATGAGAGTGGATTTGACCTAACCATTGGTTCGATTTCAAGAAAATCTTATGAACTATATACACCTTTATTTTGTTCAAAACCATATATAAGAAGGGTTTAACTTCTTCAAAAACTTCTTATTATTAGTTTAACATCGGTATAAATTGTTTATCTAAATACTCAAAAGTGCTTATTACCGGTACCACACCAAAATAAGTCAATAAATTGTTTTTATAAACAATCTCAAACACCCATAATATAACCAATTATTCTGCACCCATGTATCACATAAAATTAAGAGGAATGCATGATGGAAATTAACTTTAATAGCTTCGAGAGTTTGAACCATAATATGTGATTTTGATTTTTGGTTTCTCTTCGGTGAATAAAATATGTTACATGTGTGTGTGGATGTACATTATACTGTTGGTGGTTGAAACCACATTATATGCATGAGTTATTTCATTTTTGGTCTTTTATTTGTATTTTATGCATTCTGTTTGTCATATTTAGGGGGTGTTTGTGATTGTTTATAAAAACAACTTATTGATTTATTCCGGTGTGACACCGGTAATAAGTATTTTTGAGTGTTTAGATAACAACTTATATCGGTATCAAATCGATAATAAGAAGTTTTTGAAGAAGTTAAATCATTTTAACTTATAATAAGTTGATAAAAATTTTTGTAGCAAAACATATAAACAATCACAAACACCCCCTTATTATTCAATTTATTTGTTTCGCTCCTAATCGTTGGTATATATTACACGTCTGATTATGTTTTAAAATAAATCATGCAATTTTATTTGTTTGGGAGCGTACAAAATGCGAACATATTTTTTTATAATCATTTTGACCACTTAATCATTTTTCAGTAACTGTCAAACAATCTTTTATCTCTTATTTTTTATAATATTTTATAATATTAAATAACCATTGATTTTTATTAACATTTGTTTATATATAATAATACTAGAAGGGTACTCGCGTAATACAACGAGATACATCTTGATTTTAATATTTTATTTATTATTTATCTCATTCGATGCTATAATATGGTCTTATGTGATTTTGAAAAAACGATCATGTTTTTATTTTTGAATAAAATATAAATTTAAAGATATCATAAAAATTTGACAAAAATATACCAATATTAATATCAAATTAATTATTTAAAATTCCTCATTTTTTGTGTAATTTTTTAATTTAATTTTTTATTATAATTTAATTTAGGTACAATAACGAAATAATTTATATCTGGTTTAATAATATAATTTTCTGATAAAGATAATAATTAATTATATTATTAGAACTCGATAATTATTTTAATTATATATTATATTTTTTATATTTTAAAATGCGATGTTTATTTTCCATTTGATTATCCTTATCTGCAGTTACTTATACAAATTCAAACATGAAGTTTTAATTATAGTTATGCATAATTTACTTGTAATATTGAACTTTAAGTAATATGCATTAATATACAATATTTCATACATAAAAAATAATTTTTAAAATTTTTTGTTAAATACTTTATAATACAGTATAGATATTAATTTCGAATAGCACGGTAAACTCTCAAAACTCATAATTTGCAGATAGAATGTTAGAAAAAAAAAAAAGGCGTGGGGGAGACGTGGACCGTTGGATTTCCAGATAATGTGGTGGTACACATCATCAATGTGGAGCGTGGCTGCTCCGTTTAAGACGTCGGTGACACGTCTTCAGTGGACCAAAAGCTGAATCTAGTCTCTGAACATAAAACTATTTTATTCTACTTGTCTACACCTAATTATTTCATTATTATAAATAATTATAAAATAAATACAGCTTTTAGTGTGTGTTTTATGTATCAAGTACTTTTATGTCTTTTCACACCTCAAACATTTCATGGTATTTTCACTTATTAAATAACATTGAATGAACACTGCATACATAAATTAGTATTTACCGTTTCTAACTTTTAGATGGTTTTTATATGATTTATCTCTTTCTATTATATTTTATCAGTTCGAGATAATATAAAAACGTCCTTACAAATATAATTAAATTCATTAAAAAAACGATTCTTTTAAATATTATT